AGAAAGGAATGATTTACAAGCATTAGGAAAAGTCTTGTTGCATTATACTTCGTAATTTTGCGGACCTACGCAGAGCACAACCCTCTCCAGATCAACACCTTCCGCCTTCCGATACGGAAAATGCGACTTGGATGTACCTACGATGGCGATGTTGGCAGCTGCAGGATGACGTGGTTGTCGGGAGGCGATGTCTGAAGGACGTGCTCGTGACCAGAACTATCTGCGACGCCGACGGCTGCACGAATCACTGCCTTGTCATCTCCAAGATGAGGCTTTGACTGCAAACCCGCAGGAGACCATAAGAAAAGCGACCCGCGACTGGCACTGGCAGGCTTCAACGCGTCTATCTACGCCAACTATCCACGACCTGCACTTCGCGGACGACTGTGCGCTCAGTACTGTGATAGGAGTTGACACGCAACAGAGCATGGACTTCCTCGTCTTCGGCTGCGCCAACTTCGGGTCGACCATTAACACAGACAGAACAGTGGTCATGTATCAACTGCCTCCCGACGTTTCACACAGTGTTCCTCGCATCCACGCCAACGATACATAACTGAAGACCCTGGGAAACTTCTCTCACTTATGCAGCAAACTTTCACACTGCACCAAAATCGCTGGCGATGTTGTTCAACGGATCTTCATAGCCAGCCAAGTCTTCAACCGTCCTCAAAACTCTGTATGGAATCGCCACGGTCCCCATCTCAACGCTAAATATACAAGTAAAAAGCTGTAATTTGAAGACTCTACTGTATGACGCGGATACCTAGATATCTGCTAGAAAAAATCGCCGAAACTCAATCACTTCAAACTTAGTTATCTCCGCTGGGACGGCATGACAGGATTCCAGACACAGAAGTTTTGGGATGCGGCTCAGGTGCAAAGCTATGTTGAGCAAATGCAATTAAGAGGTGAGCCTAACAAAACAACTCTTTCACGGAGATGTCCCCACGGATGCTCGCCGACAAGGAGGTCAAATCCGCAGCTACAGAGACATCTTGAAGAATACCTCGAAGCGGCTGCAATTCAACGCAAGGATTTGGAAAGACCTCGCACAGAACCAGCTGGCCTGGAGAAGAGTGGTGAAGACAGGAGCAGCAATTTGTAAAACAAACGCAGTCCACGCTGCTAAAGCTAAAATGGAAGCTCGCAAGTCTCGGGCGTCTCTGGTCCGCAACTCCAATCCCTAACCACTCCCAACATGCCCGCTCTGTTAACGAGCATTTAGTGAGCGGATAGGCCTTATTGGACGTCACCGGACTCAATACGTTTACATCCCGACGACCGCAACTGCTGCCTTCGCTTCAATCTCTACTCCAATTACCACTTCGTCCACCACGGCGACCGCCCTCATCACCGAGGCTCAGCATCCCCGTGCCCCGCCGCTGTCGGTTGTCGCCATCCCCACGATCCCTGTCACAATCTCTGCGTCGGTGACGATGGATACCACAGCAGCTCCCACTCCCGCAATCGACGAAAACGCTGTCGACGGCCCTCCGACCACCGTCCTTACCATTATCAGCACCACCTCCAGCAATGTGGAGTTGGTCATAACCTGTCCTCATTTTGATCTCACATTCAACCCACACATTGGAGTGGTCAGTCTCTGGCAAATTTCTCGCACTACGACCGTCACACCAAAAGACCCCACACACACTCATTACATCCACCTCTACTGTCCACGCTGTCCGCGCACATTCATAGAACTAAAAGAACTTGTGCACACGTCAACCCTCCCAGTCCCAGTCCAGTCAACTTCCCACCGACCGGTCTGCTCAAACTAAAAACCTTACTACGACAATCAACCTAACATATCCTAACCCATCCTGCCAAACTGTCATTGTACGTCCAACTCACGCATCGGTCTGGGCAATCCGTTGCGAGTCCATCGTAACGAGACAGGCTAACCAGTGTCTAGAGCGCCAACATACACCATATGTCATCACTTAAATTGCCCACATTGTCCTCGCACATTCGAATTCACAGGACATTTTTCATTATATGTGAAGGGCTGTCTCTTCCTCCTTTTTGTTCGGGTGCTCAGAAAACTGCAATAATTAATAAAAGTCTTTTATTCTTGCCAGAAATTCTGAAAAAAGTTATAACAGCGCTTCATGAGAATGAGCTGGAAGTTCAAGGCAGAAACTGGAGGGACATTCTAAAATCATTTCTACTATCAACGGCTAGTAGTATTTTATTTTACATTTGCAATTACACATGGGACTGAATACGACTGGGAGTTAAAATGAATTACAGCGGTCGCTTATCGAAACCATCCACTGCTCGTTCCACTCTGAGACAGTCGAACTAGTTATTTTGTTCACAGGCCTAGAAAGTCAATCAAAAATCAACACCCAGGTTCCCGTGGTGAGACAGCATCAAGTCGACCGTAGGTGGTCTCGGACAGAACTAATCAGCCCGCCTGCGCGTAGCACACACGGCACGGTCCCGAAAGTATGTACCCGGAGTTCATGGGGATGACCCTGAATCCACATTAGCCGGAATGCCATAAAGGCCGCACTGAGAACGAGCCACTCAACCGGACTCTCAGCCCACCAGTCAGCCACACCACACACACACACACACACACGACAGTTCGACCGCCGGTCTCGACGAGCTCCACCGTGTGCTCCATAGCAGGGTGGGAGCAGACACGGTGACTTGTGTGAAAATTTGGCTTATAGTGGTAGTAGACTTGTACAGCATCTGCCGCACCCTCTCCCCCTCCCCCCTGGGCCCGGTGTCAAGACAGTCAAGAAGACTGGAGGCGCGGGACGGCGCCGGTGGATGGCACGGTCCAGCCCGCACCTTGGCGTTCCACTCCACACCCCCTGGTCCACACAACAAATAACCAGGTTTTTGATTCACAACAACAATGTGGAGTAGCAGGGTCCCAGTGTGCGTGACGTACATCGGGAGCCTGTTCCGTCACCGCGTCCCGAAATGCTGGCATTTGTTGTGGTGCGCAACTCCGATAACGCCTGCGAGAGTCCAATATGGCCTCCGTGTTGGTCCAGAGCATCTACCACGTGGCCCGTTTGGGGGGTACACTCCACACACGCACAAGCACACACGACTGTTCGACCGTCATGCCCGACGATGTCCACCTTAGGCTCCATAACAAGGTGAAGCAGGCACGGTGACTTACGTATGAGTTAGTTTATAGTGAGTGTGGACTTCCGCTGCATCTACCGCACTCTCTCTTCCCCCATTCCCCACCAGGACCCGGTGTCAAGACAGAGTCAAGAAAACCGGAGGTGGGGACGCCGGTGAATGGCGCGGCCGGACAAGCACCTTGGCTTTCCACTCCACACTCCCTGGTCCATACAACGAATGACTAGGATTTTTACCAACAACCGCAGCAACGCAATGAGTCAGAAGGACGAGGATGATTGGGCAGCCATGTTCACGACCTGTGTATCCAGCGGGTGCGCAAGCACATCTACAGGCATTGAGTCAGGTGTCGGAGAACTCCCAGTGCATACCAAGTTGCGAGAGCAATGGTTTGCCGGTCCTGGCAGAGCAGACGCTTGCAGACCTTTAGACCCAGAAGGGTGACACGTGGCCCTGCATTTGTCTGGACCGTCGTCCCTCAAGTTTGGGTAGTAAACCGTCGTTGACTGAGAGATACTACCCATAAAACATAAACATACACGCCTCGAATGCGTGAGACTGTCACAGATCACTTAAGAATGAGCCGTTAAATCCTGACATTCAGCCCACCCACCGTCACTCCACACAAAAACACACAAATAGGCAGACAACGTGAACTGATTTGGGGCGCTATGACACTTGACGCATTGTTATAGTCTCAGATTCGGACCACACATTTAGCAGAGGAGCCGCATGAAGACGGAGCCTGGACGCACACTTCCCGCTTACGTGGGAGTTGGCAATGGGATACTTGTGGTGGGTGATGATGTTGTGCGGTTAAGGTGAGGAAACATGTGACGGTGTGGTGTAGCCGGTGATTTTCTACCGTAGGTTTTTGTGAATGCGCATGCGGCCTTATAGGCCCATGAGGTGGGCGAATGTGCGGAAGCAGTAAGGACAGTGGGGGCGGATGCAGTACGTTAGTGCTCCAGGCACTGGTTCGCCAGTCTCTGTGCGATGGATTCGCAAGTGACCGACCAGGCCAATGCGTAAGGTGAAAGTGCGATCGCAATGAGGGCAGGTTTAGATCGGGTCCTCATCAGCAGTGTTGGCGATGATGAGTTGATGCTTGCCGATGTGTCAGGATTATGTGCAGTGGCGGTGGGTGCAGAAGCCCGCACAGAAATTGTTGAGGCGATGGAGGATGGCGGGGGGGGGGTTCAGGAGTGTGGTTAGTATTAATTTTCGGCGTGGAGGATGAGGCAGTGGTGAAAGTGGGAAAATAGGGCGGTGTCATCCGGGTGCTACAGTTGGTTCGAAAATGTCCAATATGACCAATTGGTGCCCGAAACGCCCGCCGGCAGAGTGAGCAGGTCGTAATCGGTCGACCGTTGGTGTTTAGAGGTGGAGCAGTTGGGATTTGCGAGTTTCGCGTTTGGCTTTGCTAGCGATGATGCGCTTGATTTCGTAGACCTCTGCCCCTGTCTTCATTGTTCTCGTCCAAGTCAGTCGGTCACGGGGGAGGTCTTCTCAGTTGGCCGGGTTGATCTGCAAACGCTTTAAGGAAGTCTTCAGAGTGTTCTTGTAGTGTCGGACTTGGCCTACTTGCCGGCGGGAACCCGTGGCGACACTTCAATAGAAGAGTTGTTTGGGTAGCCGATTGTCGTCCATCCATACAGTGTGGCAGTTCCAGCGCGGTCGCAGCTGTCACAGCATGGCGGAGATGCTGAGGATTCCCGTCTGCTCCAGAACATCGGTATCCGGGATCCGGTCCTGTCACCTCAGCTTCATTACGCAACGAAGACAGCTAATGTGGAAGTGGTTGAGTCTTCGCGCCCGTTTCTTGTACACCATCCAAGTCTCTCTTCCATACAGCAGTTTCGGCAGGATGACTGCCTTGTACCCCTTTAGTTTTGTGTTGAGATGGAGACCGTGACGGTTTCAGACAGTGTTTTGGAGACGGCCAAAGTCTTGGCTGGCTTTGGAAATCCGGCGGGCCACTTTATCATCGATTTTGGCGCTGTAGCAGGGGGTGCTGCCCAGATACATGGTTGATTGAGGCGAAGAGGCGAGTTCCAGGAAGTAGTCGTGAAGAAAGCGTTGTCCGCCACTTGCAGTTGTGCGCCGTTCACGCTGATTTTGGGTGCGACATAGGCAGCGTCGGGTGGCGGTTGGTGTATGACCACCGTCTTCTCCGTGATGATGATTAGGACGAAGATCTCGCAGGCGGCGGAGAGGAGATCCATGCGTCTTTGCATGTCTCCTATAGTATTTGCATTGAGGGCGCAGTCATCGACGAACAGAAGTTCGTGGACGGTGGTTGTGGAGGCACGCAAGCAAGAGTTAATCCTCCAGTGGTTGAGCAGTTGACCACCCGTTCTGTAGGCGATGCGGATTTCGGGACGTTCGTCACGGTAGGCGTCCATCAGCATGATAGAGGACATGAGACTGAAGATGGCAGACATGAGGACGCAACCCTGCTTCACTCCATTGGTCACTTCGAATGCTTTTGGTATAGCTCCATTGTCCGTGACTCGCGCCATCATGCCGTCGTGGAGCTGACGCATCGTCTGAGTGAATCGTTCGAGACAGCCTAATTTCTGCATGATTTACCACAGTCCTTCGCGATTAACCGCATCAAAGGCTTTTGTCAGATCCAAGAAGGTAGAGTACAGGTGGCTCCATATCTCCAAACACTTCCCCTGCAGTTGGCCGGAAGCGAAGATCATATCCGTGATCCGATGATGACGGCGGAAGCCGCACTATCTTTCCGGCAAAAGACCCTGTTCCTGATAGCAGTTGCGACGTTTGAGGGCGATTTTAGCGAAGATCTTCCCAGCAACGTTCAACAGGAAGATACCCCTGTGGTTGTCGCAGAGTTGACGGTTCCCTTTCCGCTTGAGAGACGGACGACTGCGGCGTCCTTGAAATCCCGAAGAACTTCTCCTTGACGCCACATCTCCAGGAAGAGCGCCGGCAGATGACCCATGATGTTGGAGCCACTGTGATTGTAGATCTTAGCAGGGACCGAGTTCTATCCGGGCGCTTTCCGATAGAGAGCCGCTGCACGGCCCTGATGTTTTCGTGTAGGTCGAGGTCGGCGTTGGTCTCCATTTGTGGCAGACGGGCGATGGCGACGTCGGAGATGGTGGAGGGATGTTTGAGGACGCCTCTGAAGTGCTCGGCCCATCGCCGTAAAATTTGATTTTTCTCAGCGAGTAGATTACAGCCGTTGGCCCTGAGAAGGGGAGCAGTTGTTTTGGTTGGTGGATCGTAGACAGCATTTTTGCGTGTACAAGCCACGGTCAGCTTGCTGATGGCAAGTTTTACCACTAATTTTAAGGAAGATTTTATAGCTCCCCTCCTCAAAAGGGACTGCTGAGTCATCTCAGACCTCTGTCAAATTCCACTGCGGGTCACGACTTTTTAGAGGTAAAACGACCCGAATCTGCCTTTTCCGTCTACGTTATTGGACGTCGCCCACTCCGTAGGAATTTTTGTATGGAATTTTGCAGGAATATCGAGATTGGTTCAAGGACTGCGGGATGTGAAGACACACGCCCTGGACACCCCCATCTGATTTAGCTTGCCGGTCAAGGACGGTCACCGGGATGTGGCCGCCGAGCTGAGCATAGCTTCGTACAGGTACAGATGGGGGCTGGGTACCGGGAGTGGACGCTGTAGAAGTATCCACCAGGTGAATCAATGCATTTGACAGGTAGCATTAAGGTACTGCTTATGGGTGATTCATACCACCATGGCCGTGTCTGCACTACCGGGGCCAACTGGCGTCACCTGGAATGCATCTTCGTGCATGTTAATTGTCGACAGTGTATGTGCGGCAGGGTATCCTCGTCAATGTAACGTCACGCAAGTCCACCCACCCTCATCGTGGCACCTGGAGTGACCGTACAGCCCCAAAGTGCGTCCCTGCAGGCGACAGCCTTTGCACCCCCTATAACAAAATATTTACCACAATGAACCCCGACTAGACCGGGGGTGGAGGAGAGGGGTTAACGTTTTACAGAAGGATAGACTTGATTCCAAAAACACGAGTAATCAAACGTTCAGGAAGGTGTACCCGACTACCACTGTAAGCCGAATGTCGATGCTAATGAAAGCTTTGCGCTAAGGACGGTGGGGCAAAAGGGTGGGAAAGAAAGTCTGAGAGGGGTTCTAGTTCAGTATAGTATTTCTTCCAGCGTCTTCTCTGAAGCGGCGGACGCCGACTACGTCCTTCTTGTCACCAAGACGCATTCTGAAGATCTTTGTAGTGCGGGGGCCTACACGAAAAAGTCTTTTGTCGGACGATTCCAGTGGCTTGCGCACACTGTCACGCCGAACGAACTTATAAATGTAACAAACGAAATCATTTTTCATGCATGGCTCCGACAATGGATTTCACAGCGAGACTGGTGGCAGCTTGTGCACGAATTTGAACGAATTATCGTTGATACAGCCCTGCTGTCGAACGCGACACCAAACACCAATTCAACCGAGTTTGCAGTTTGAATCCAGCTTCAGTGTCCGTTAACCCTACAACCTAATGTCATAAAAGTAGCGTAGTTTACCGACAAAGGCAAGGCAGACTGTAATGGCCATTTCTAGCCTGTTAGCCGTCATCAACCAACCATTTCCAACCCCGAAATATGCAGCCCCGAGTTTCGAACTCGCTGTTTGTTGGCTAGAGGTCCAACGCCCTAACCATTGAGCAACGGGCTCGTTGTCATGTCGGTTGCCATCAGACATATTAACAAGTTTAGAGGGGCGCGTACTGATTGTCGCGAACAGGACGAGTGAGTTTCGTAACGTGACGGATGAGCGTCCCTCTACAATTGTTACCATACCTGATCGCAACCGACAGGGCGCTAACCGGCGGCCCAGTGGGTAGGGCGTTAGACTTATAACCAGCGGGCCGCAGATTTTGGCCATGGGGATTGCATACCTCGGAGTTAAATATGGCCGGCCGTTGACGGCTAATAAGCCGGAAATGGCTATTTCAGTCTCCCTTGTCTTTGTCGGCAATTTTTTTTTCTGTTTGCGTGTTCTATTAGCCGCTGTGGGACTCCTGGCGGGAATCGAGAGGGAGCCCCAAGGCACAATGGGATGAGTGATTTCCGCAACACTATCAGTACTTATGCCTCCATAACTGTCATAAAAGTGCTAAAATAGGACGCGTCACTTAATTCACTCAGCTGCCTATGGCACACAAGGCGGTCTTAACTTGACTTTGGAAGCCTTTGTCAATGTCACTGACGGCTGGGTTTTTAGCTGTCCGTCGAATAGGTGGGCAGCCCAGGAAGTTGATAGGAGTTTGGAAAAGTGCAGACTCAAAACGTACACCTTGGTCAGTCACTAACGTAGACGAGGTACCCGACACGGTGACCAAACGACTGACGAAGCCGTTGGTGATGGCATCAGCCTCAATGCAATGGCTCCACCTCAGCGAGTGCACGGGTCGGTGCAAACAAAATGGGGGGTATAACTACTGGAGTAAGGCAAGGGGTCCACTATATCTAACTAAGCGTGACTGAACTGTGAAACTGGACTGCGGAAAGGACCTAGTGGCGACTTGTTGTGACGCAGAACCTTATCCCACCGGTAGCTCAGACTCGCCTATGCCAGAGATTTAACGTCCTTTTTCATGCCGGGCCAGACAAACTTGCACGTGAGGGAATTCTGTGGGCTCGGATCCCGGGATAATGGAGTCCGCGACGCACTAATTCGTACACGAAGAGGCGACTCGAACGACATTAGCGTAGCGTGGTTCAGCTGACGAGTGTCTCATGGAGAAGGGGACCAAAGTCAGAGTCGAACCTGTGAGATGGCTTTGGATGGCCGCGGTGAAAATTCATGAATGGCTGCCACTTTGGTGGTGGTGGTGGTGTTGGTGGTGGCGGTGGTGGTGGTGGCGGCGGCGGCGGCGGCGGTGGTGGTGGTGGTGGTGATGGTTGTGGACATCGCGGGGACTGCAGAAAGTATGCCAGTGGAGATTTTTGGAGACGGTGGGTGAAATGGCTGTGGTTTTATTTCATGGAGTCCGATGATGTCCGGCGAGGTCGATTCGTGTGCATAATGTCTGTTAACAGAGTAGACACTATGGAAATGGTTGGGTGTTGTGGTTGTTGGTCCGCGACATATGAGGCTTGCGAGCCGCTCCTTTTGCTATGGCAGAGGCATTCACGCTGACTTCGCAGACTGCCGCTCTAGTCTTCTCTGCGCTTTTCCCGTCCAGCTGATCCAGGGCAAGGTTCTCCCAGGTCTCGAGTTGATGAACAGATGCTTGGGAGAATTCTTCGGGGTGTCCTTTCAACGCTCTCTTATTCGCCTTGTTGAGAACACCCGTGGCGACGTCGCCCTAGAAGAATCGTCTGTATTGCCGTTCATCAGACATCCTTATGACATGGTCGCTCTAGCTCAGTTATAGTTACATTAGCATTGCGTGGATGCTGAGGATTCTGCCCCGTCCTTAGACTTCCGTTTCAGGTTTCCTCCGTGCCACCTCGGTTTTTATATTCTACGGAGGCAGCCGAGTTGGAAATGGTAAACCCCTGGCTTTGTTAGCGGAGACGATCCGTGTCTCCGTCCCCCACAGCAGCGTCATCAACACTGCTAACCTGGGACAGCTGGTGTTTTATGTGGAGACAAAAGCCGTGGTGATTCCAGTCTGAGACCCGCAGAATTCGGAGATCTGGTGGGTTACTACGTCATGAGTCGTGGTGTTGTTTGAGACTGTAGTACCTAGATAGGCGCATTTGTCCGCCAATGCGACCCAAGTTCCACTCACGTAAATCCTGGGCGTAGCGTGTTTGTTCGCCGTTGTCTCTGTGTTGATGGACATGTCGGAATGGTGTGATCGATAAGACAGAGGTTTCCAAACCAAAGGTCACGCAAGAGGGATTGGGTTAGACAGCTTTTACTGCTGAGGAAGTGTGTACACAAGGGCTCTGCAAGCACTCGCAGCGAGCAGTATCTCCAGGCAAGTTGTGTTGCCTGTGTCCGCCGCTGGGGCGCTTAGACCCCAGCGCGTGTGTGCGTCCCCCGCTGTCTCAGTGCCCGCCAGCCAATCAAAGAAGGGGCAGCGTTGATTGGCCTCGAACACTCGCGAGGATAGTGGCAAGCATCGCGCGTACCAAAAGGGAGTCGACAGGGAGTGTGAGACGGATATGAGGGCAGAATGACAAAGAGGCGGAGAACAAGGAGGCGCAGATTACCACAGACAATCCCAAGTTGGTGCAGACGGGGGCGAAGGCATTCATGCTTCTTTGCATACCTGTTTCGCCATGGTGTTGAGTACGCAGTCGTTCGCAAAGAGGAGGTCGTGACCAGAATTTTTGGATTTTCACTTTGGTGCCCGTAAAAATCGGAGTTCAAAAATCTGACAGTTGGTCCTGTAAAAGGCGTTCATACCAGTGCGCCCTCACGATAGATGCTAGTCAGGATGGCAGAGAACGTGAGGCCGAAGTGAATGGCAGTTAGTACGCTACCCTGCTTTACTCCAGTGATCACTGCAAATGCTTCTGTGACTGCCCCCATCGTCCGTGACATTAGTCATCATTTCGTCATGCAATTGGCGTATCGTGTGTGTGAAGTGCTCCGTTCATCCGAATTTCAAAATGGTCCTGGAGAGTCGATTACGATTGACGATATAACAGATCTTTGTCAGATTCACAACGGTGGTGTGGAGGTCAGCAAGCACTTCTTGCAACACTTCTTCTGCAGTTGGCGGACAGCAAAGATCATTGCAGAGGTTCCATGGCTCCCTCAAAAACGACATTGGATTTCCGGGAGAAGTCCTCCTTGTATTTTGGTGTTGAGTCGACTGAGAGGGACACGAATAGGGGCTTTCCCCTGAAATATTGAGGAGATACTTGTAGAGCGACGCTCGGCGATCACGATACGGGACACACTCGTCCAGCTTTGGGACTCAGTCTCTGACCTTACCAGCAGACGCACAGCGGCTAGTAGGGCATATAATCAGAACAAAATCACCGGCAAAGACAGGGAAGACTGGAATGGCCATTTCTGGCTTGTTGGTTGTCCTCAGCCAAACCTCTCCAACCCCAAGTTCTTCAACCCCCGAGGCGCGATCCTGCGAGTTGTTGGTCAGAAGACCAACGCCCTTACCGCTGAGCCACGAGCTCGTTGGCCCGAGGATATGGTCGCCTCTGTGATTATCGCAGTGTTGCTGGCCCCTTGAGCCTGTCTATGTGGACAATGGTCACATTCTAAGTCCTTAGGAACATATCCTTGCCGTCACTTCTCCCGCAGAAATGGGAAGTGAGCTTGTACATCAGCGGAGGGCGGCCGTATTCACATGCTTCAGTCAAGATTGCGTGAGCTCTCGTTGGTTCCTCACTGCAGGGCTGACGTACTGCCTTATTTATTCCTGGGCATGAGGACCAGGCCATTGATCATTTCACCTGGGGGGAGGCTGTCGATGATACCGTCGGAGACTTTGGAGACCTGGTTGGGGACATCTCTAAAGTGTCTAACCGAGAGCTTCCGAACCTGCAATTTCTCCTTGAGGAATGTTGTTCCATCGGGGCTGATCATCGACGCGGTCCCTTTGGTGTGGGGACATAGACAGCCCTGGTTGAAGCATTACAATTGCGCATATCGCAGCGTTCCGTCCTACCTGTTATTTCTTTAGCCTTGAGATTCATCCATGCATACTGTCTTTACCGCAGTCGTCATTGAATCATATGTCGACCGAGAGCAAAAGAAGGCTGCTTTGAATACGTCGGGTCCAGATTTTATGTGGGTTTTGTGTTGCCTGTCTTCCTCGAATAGCTGAGGACAGATTTCTTCATCGTCGTATCGACGAGTCATTCCTGGTGTTGACGGCGTCGACGTCCGAGACCGTCCTTGGTGATTGGATGAATCGCGTCCCGCGGTCGGCACCCCTGTGTCCCCGTGGTGTCTTGTCTTCCAGGCGCCCAATCCTCCTGCTGACCCTGCTCACACAGAGCCTCGATGTCCACCTTGTAGCCCGCGTCTTCTAGGGTTTAACCGTCGACACTGAGGCTGCTGACCGTCCTACTAGGCAGACCAAGTATGCCTTTTCGGTCATTTCAATACGGCCCCATTTCGGCTGCAAATTTTCTTCAGGACAACTTTTACTATTCGGATACCATAAACAGAAAGTACTGGAGTCGCCGCCGATCAACGGTCTTTCATACTATGTCTACCAATTAACAGCCTTATTCGGTGTCTGTGTGGTTTAAACTTAGTGCGGATCAAAGAAACTTGGGTAGACAACAAAAGGATGAAGTTCACTAGGCACGATCACGCGAAGAGATACCAATGCGGATCTAGCGTATCCTTTTAGCAGTATATAGTCACGGCATAATAAAAGGTAAAATCCGAAGTGACGCACTACCGATCCGCTTAAAGAAGGGGACATGTACTTTCTGTTCCTCCCTGAAGTTTCAATCTACGTAGCCCGGGTTCCAACTCCAGGTCATCCTGACCTGACTTAGGGTGCGGTCATTTTAATTCCTCTTATCTTTGACGCTTTCCCGTCTACGAGGAGTGTGGATTACAGGTTTAGAAGTTAGAATTTAACCGCGCAGTCATGAGCCACTTCTTTTAGGCTTTCATGGTAGAGAGCACGATTGGTAGTCATTTCACTGATGAATTGTATAAATTAGTTCCCGCAAGGCAAGGTGAGGCAAACGTCTGAAAGAGGAAATCACTACATTTATGCGGACATTTATACAGACAAGTTGCGATGATTTTGCAAGTAGATATACTCTTCATAAATCGGAAAGCTGTTATACAGCCATCGGAGTTAGATCAACAGTCTCAGAGTGGTCCTCAAAGCTGTCACTCACGAGAAAAACACAAAAGTAGCCAGCAGGGTTCTGTTATTTAGTTGTAATAACACTGGCGAAAATCATATCAGAGGCAAGCCGTGACCTACAACTTTACGCCTGCTTGAATAGCAATGCCCCCTTTCTCCTACAATCGGTGACTCACTCAACATAAAAACTAGCTAATGAAAACACAGACCTGAGATGTTATCGAAAACTGAATTTCCAGCCTTATGACAAGCGCCCCAAGTCTTACGGGCAGTGACCGAAATAACGCTATCTTCATTCCGATCCTGGTGTGGCATCAGAAATAGAAAGTCTTGCACATGCATCACTATACTGACGGAACGGGTAAGAAATAAAGGCCCAGAGGCATGTTTCCCGATTTTTTGCCCCTACCTGACAAAGCTGCGAGGAGTTCGACTCGTCCGCGTTCCCCATTTGCGCTCTGGTATATACTCCAGATTTGAATTTTCAGCTTTTGAATTTCCTCAGAAATTAATTTGCTAATTCAGAGTAAATACTACGAAATAAGGTTAAATAGACTCATTCCGAAAGTAAATATGAATATTTGTGGTGAAATTCAGCTAGGATTTGACTAGTAATCGCGCTGTCTGTGTAGCGGATCGTACACTACGTGTATACTGCTGATTGCGTGTTAGCGACTTATAAATATTAATGACTTTCCTGCCGAAACTGGTGGACTCGGGCTCAAATGTCCGTATCAACTTCCGGACTGAGCCTACAGATTTCCATTACGGAGGGTTTACTTCAAGTTATCGCATTAGTTTCTGAGGAGGTTAAAAAGTTGAAACAGAAAGTTTTGCTTCCATTATACCTCCGGACAATGACCTTGTTGACAGCCAATTGCCTCGAAGAACCAAATTAGTGTACCACACGTAAGCACTGCAATTGGTTAAAAGGTAAATTCAAACGCTCGCGTGTCTGCACTGGGCGATGTGGCTATCAACACGGTGAATTTTGGCGATGGCCTAAAGTAGCCTATCAAGCATCCCTCTCTCTCTCTCTCTCGCGGCCATTGTCACGCATAACTGACGCACGTTGCCATCTTCGTTACCTCTTCGTTGCCATCTTAAAAATACTGCGCTCAGTCTATCCTTATGTCATTTGCCATCATCGTAGTGTCTCCGAGGTTGTGAAATGTTCTTATTTTCTCAGTGATAAAGGCAGACCAGCCAACATGATCCTATGCAATGCATGTAGGCGCAGCCGACTGAGGTTGTCTTTGTAGCCGTAGTAACTGGACGCTAGCCTCCCTGGAAAAAGCAGTTCTCATATTTAGGAGCGGAATGTTTACTCGGGCTAACAAATGCGATGGGCTTTGTTGCGATGTCAGCAACCAGCTATAGCGGATATGGTAATGCATTCCTATGTTTAATGTCTTTACTTTCGGTTGTAATTTAGATTAGAAAGGGATCTAAGTAGCAGTTATTGTCCTTGTAATGTTGTGAACTATTTAGGACTAGGGATTTCACATGCCTGAAGACGTGCGACCTGGGGCGGAATCCAACCGTTGACCTCTCGAATTCCAGTCAAGTGCTCTGACACCTAAGCCACCGGGGGGTCTTCGCTGAAGTCGCAGATGCTGATAGGTTCTCTTCTGACTCGCAAAGACGGGAGAGATGCGGTTTTTTAAATTAAGTATTGCTTCAAGCCAGATAACTTTTTAACTCGCAGGTGTGAATAGCAGCTATGAGAATGAAGTCATGTGATTTCCGAAGCATTTTTCATGGGGAACGTGACGAGATTTCCGACCCAAACCTGCGACCGAAAGCACAGACTCACACGTATGTAGACAACGCACAGACAGGGTCCAGCTAACTGGTCGCCAGTAGTATCTAACCCAAGTCCCAACATCTGGAAGTTTTCAGCGTCGGTGAATATTCATTTACACAGGAATGGGTGCACAGTACGTTTTTCCGTTTCCAGGACTGATAACACTGAGGCATGTTAGTTTCTGGGTGAGTAAATACTCAGTCGACGGAGGAGATTTTGCTGACAACGAGACGCTGGCAGAAATTCGTCGGATCAGAGCTAATTGTGTATTTGCTCGATCTGGTCGGTGGAACGTTTGGGCATGTGTTATGTTTCAGATTTCTGCTTATAGCTTGCAAAAAGGTGCGAGTAAACCTGATAAAAAGTCGTTACTTAGCCCTTTTGTTTCAGCTTAAAATCTAAGCATATTTGCAGGGTAACAATTGCGCAAACTTACACTTATTGGGATCCTGGCGATCGCGCTGAGGCAGCCATTTGGCGGACTGTTTGGGACAAACCAAACGAAAGTAGAGAATGACAGCAGGGAAGGCGGAAAATGACGAACGCATTAGGCGCACCAAATTTGACTTTTGTGATGCATATGCGTCAGCTACCAAAGCAACAGACATGATTCCTTATTTTTAAAGCAAAGAACCGGCAGGCACGGCAGGTTCATTCGAATTTTTAAACTATACCTGCTCACAAAAACTCCTAAATTTAGTAAGCTTAACTGTAAAGCATAGAGCTATGCGGGAGGCTTAATTTGAAATGCAGTTCGAGAGTACTACTATTTATATTAAAGAAAACAGCTGAATTGCACTGATGTACGGACTGCGTTCCTTCTTACAGGACCTAGGGATGAGTAAGTTGTAGACGTCTCTCAGTTTCGGGACAACTAAGGAACAAAGCACTCCGATGACTCCGCCTGACCATAAAACTTTGATAAGTCTTTTATACTGAACCCCTATAAGATATGGTCGAAATGAATGTGGCTTAGTGGGGTTAATATTCCGTGTAATGCCATTCTTAGAACTCCTGTCGGCACATGGATATAATCCTAAGGTACTTTTCGTACCACTTTGTCAAAGAAGTGCCTACTTAAGGTACTCAAGGTAGACTGGCTCACTAGGAATTGCTAAATTATCTATTTGATTCTCCGAAGGACAATGGACAACAATTTATTTTGAAATGTTTTCATTCGCTAGACTCCGTTAAACGTCCTTCTCGATGAAGAACATCCTAACTGCTATATATGCACATATACATGCTCGAGAGGCGCTCATGGATAAGGTCGCAGGACGTGCTCGTCTCTGTGCGCATAGGGTATCAATCTAGAGTCCTCGCAGACAGATACACAGCGATTAGAAGTATATACAAATAAGGGGGTAGCGACAAACTGATCACAACTGATAGGATAACGGACCTGTGAATCAGTAGCGGGGTATTGGACAACCTCACAGTCTGTGTGCACGGGTTCGAACTCCAGGCACTCGGGATCCGGAATTAGGTATGGTTGGTCGTAGACGGGCAGTCAGCCAGGACTAACAACCCAGGTTTCCCTTGTCTTTTGTTGGCCATATCTTATCTGCATATATATATGTATGATGGTAGGGGCGTTCACCGATCGTCCTTACGGAACACACTCGTTCCGTTGTGCTTTACGGGCTCTCTCTAGAGCCCAAACAGCAGCCGCACAGCGGCGCATGATATACGCAGTATGTTATTACCGATAAAGACAAGGGGAATTGAAATGGCCATTTCTGGCTTATTAGCCGCCGTCAGCCAGTCATACCCAACCCCGAAGTGTGGAACACCCGAGGCTCGAACTCGGGACCTGTTAGTTAGAAGTCCACGCCTCTAACCACTGGGCCACGAGCCCGTTGGCCTGTCGGTTTTCGATCGGGAATATACAGTGGTAGGGGGCGCTCACTGATTTTAGGGCACAACGGAACGAGTAAGTTCCGCAAGAACGATCAGTGAGCGCGCTATACCATTGTATATTCCCGATCGAAAACCGACAGGGCAACGGGCTCGTGGCCCGGTGTGTAGAGACAGGACTTCTAAACCAACAGATCGCGAGTTCGAGGCTCGGGTTTTCTACACTTCGGGGTTGGGTATGGCTGGCTGACGACGGCTAATAAGCCAGAAATGGCCATTCCAGTCTCCCTTGTCTTTGTCGGTAATTCCATTCTACTTAAATTTTTAATTATGTTATTTCTGAAGACCATGAAATGCCCATCTGATAATGCTGCTTATAAATATACTACATGGTCTAGGTCAATCGAAAAATTGCATGAGTTCTGCATGATATCCTCCTAAGAGCTTCAAGCAGTGTGTGATTTTCCTTTGGCGGACTGTATACAGAATGCAGTTTGGAAACCCTAAATGTAAGTATACCGGCAAGTCGGACTCAAAGGTATTCTGGAATTAGAAAAAAGTTAAAACCCAGCGATACTCTTCATCCAAGAATAATATTTGAAGAAGACGCAATCTTCTACCAAATGAGTGCAATAAAGAATATTTTTGCAGGCTTTCTATAAAATACATTTGCATCTACAAGGGCATCGAAAATCAGTTGGAAACATTTATGCTATTTATCTTGTAATTTTTTAGAGTGCAGTTTTTACAGGCGATCGAAAGGAAGTGCATTCAAGAGTCGGCATCCTGATGTGACTGAAATATCTTAGGGTTATGCTATGTGGTGATTAGTATAGCGACCCTATTTAAGTAGTCTCTTTGGGTCAAAACAGCGCAGAATTTCGTTTAACACTTCAGGAGGTAGCACATATGCACGTAAGTTGGTAAGACGTCGTAGAAAGAGAGTAGACTTAGGCAGAACTGTTTTGGGCTTAGCCTGCCTTCGTTCACTCACCCACAACTCTCCCCACGCTCTGGGATCTGAAACGCATACATGCACACGCATATAACGCAGGAAAGGTCTATGAAATGGACAGAACAGAAGTTTATTTGTACCTCATCAACTGTCATCCTTTGCTGATGTTGATCAAGTATTTATTTAAGCTACCCCCATTCTGCTTCCCTGCCTGGGTGGTGGTTGCCTGTGCGTGATCTCTGTCACTCATAAGAAGTTTGTCTGCCTCGGGAAGCCAATGAGGTAACAATTGGGAGATGGCACCCAAAAAATCCGCCCAACCAAAGCAGCCTGTCTTACGGGACAGGTGGTAATAGGGGTTTTACGGGTGGGGCCTTCGATTGCGTGGATAAATATAAATAATACTAAGAAGTTTTTTTCAGAAATGGCTTTTCGAACGATAAAGTTTAACCCCATCACTATATGGCAAGAAAAATTTGCGCGGTGTCGGACTTACTTGAAGAGGCATATAATATGAAGTCGATCCAGCTCGTATTCCCTGCTTAATTGCTTTTTTAAATAAGGGATTGAAAGCGGAATGCAGTTGGCTAAAGGAAACGTTCTACGTTGTGCTGTTCATGACCCTATGCCTTCATATCCTCGCTTTTAAAACTGCACGTTCAATAAACACAGAGGACTGATTGAAAACATCGCCGCACTTGACCCCGACGAGAGTTGCCATTTTGTGAAATTGCTTAGCTGATGACACCGTCTGTCTAGGATTGTATGCTTCTAAAGCTTTCCGGCCCTCAGTAAAATACCCTTATTTTATTCCTTTCATCAGCCTGTGGACGAACACTCATGCAGTCCTCCGGCATATTCTCATCTCCCAATTGCTACCGCCAATGAATCTGTGTGCATTCGTGCCAGCTTTAATACATCTATATATCAGTATTGTAGAGGCAGTATGCATCCCGAGCCCCTATAATGGAGAGAGAAGAAGTTTTGCGGAAACAGTCGAGCTGTACTCATGAATTTTCGGGTTAATGACACCAACAGAGGGTCAGACGGAATGAAGACAAAGGGCAAATGGAGACTGTCACACTAAACCACTTGGCGCCACAGGACATTGACAGGCGGACCATTAGCGTGTTAGATAAATGTGGTGGGCACAGGGTAACGGTAGGTACCTGAGCGGAGGGCGAGGAGGGGGATACAGTTACGGCGCCCAATGCCAGAGGAGAAGGGAGAATGATAGGTTAGCGGGGCTGCGGGTGGCTGGATTAGCGGTCGCTTAGCGGCATGAGGCAGGGCCCAGTGAGTCGTGATCCCAGGCCCTCATAATGGACGCCTAGGTCAACATGGCAGTTGACATTGTCAGCAGTTAAGTACCTTGCCTCGATAAATTCTCTCGCGCGTTTGTGTTGGCCAGGGCGATGCCACTATCTCGCCCCTTTAGTCATTCGTATAATCATAAGTGACTTAAGGTCGTCGATTTCGAGAATAAATCGATTCGTGTATGGCAATCACCTGGTTGTCGTCACCCTACCGAACGCTGGTGACATGCGAAGGAAACAGCCTCTTTTATTTGGATGCACAAGTTTTCAAGTATTGGGAGGTCGGAAATAAATGTCGTTTTCTATAAATGGCACGAAAAGTCTTTGCTGAAAACGTTTTATTTTTTAATCTGTTGCATAAATCGTCATCGTTATCAATCACTATTGTCAATCTTGGGAACAATTTTTCAATACCCTCTTTGTAAAAGGAAGTTTGTTATGTAAAAAAGAATTTCGAGAGCCCTGTTTCGACACCAACGCCGTTTCGAAAAGTTTTTACACCAGGAAATGCTTCAAATATCCGAACGAACGATAATCAGTTGGCGTACAGTCAGCTGAACAGGGTGGATGGGGCAAAAGTTCCCACTCTAAGTCTCAGATTTTGTCCTGAGACCTTCTCGCGCTGTCATGCAGCCGAATGTCAAATTCTCTATTGATGAGGGCTCGATGTTTAACGGCAAAGAACTGGCTTAAACGTTCTGATTATCGACAATAAAGGCTTGCTGTTACGGTCTGACTGTTTTGTAATCATCCAGAGTGAAGTATGCCTAACATAGATGGCCAAGGACACGGTGAGACTTTCTTGGAGTATGGTCCTGATTTCGACGCAGGAACCGATGTCTAATTTGTGGAAAGCCATTTATGTTGGCGATTGTTGTTAACGTAAAGAATCCATTCCCTATCTCCAGACACAATTCAATGAAGAAATGGTTCCCTCTCCTGGGTGCTTAGTAAAAATTGCGGATTGCGAAAAACTAGGGCTTTGTTTTCTGTCGAACAAACACAGTGCGCTGACCTGCCCTATCTGTTGAATGTGCTCCTAATAGAAGCCATGATGATTTTAGATTTTTCGACAGTTCTTAATGGTTTGACGGGGATCTGCCTCAATGGTTGCGCGCAAAAGGTTATTATTCAGCTCCACTGGTCTTCCTGGACGATGGGAATCGAAGAAGCCCAAATTGCCAGATTGGAGTTGCCTGAACCAACACTGGCACTTGTGGACATCTAGAGCATTCGGATATACACCGCAAAATGTTTTGGTGGCTGTTGTTACATTGCTTCCCTTGCTAACATCATAAAGCCCTTTGGATTTTATGCCTCCTTTTTTTGTCAGGCCCCATTTAAAACCAAAACACATATCGAATTATAAAAAACAAACGCTAACTGATTTAAAAAGACACATTGTTCGAATTCAGCAGATATAAACACTTAATGAATAACATCCTAATTAAGACCACAAAAACGACATTACGTCACCGTACCGCCCACATATTCTGAATATTTCTAAATGTGTGCTTAAATTAGGGGTCGATCGAGACGTTTTTGTTATTGACTTGATTGTTGTTGACACGAAGACGACGACGAATTGACTGCGGAGTCGTGGCACAAAGAGCACAAGTCCTGAGAGTTGTGACAGTTCGCTGGACGTAGTCGGTGAACGCCGTGTTCACCAGACTGAGTGTTTGGCTTGGATAATGGGTGATGGACTCCGGTGAACCGTGTTTATTTTACAGTGGAAGTGTTCAAATATATTTGTATAGCCCTAAATGTGTGTTGAAAACAGAGGCAGAGTCTTTTTCGTTGTCACCATGGCCAGGAGATGTAGGGCTGTCCAGTTAGGGGGCAAACGATGTACGTGTGGTAGGTCATATCATCCGTCGCGTCCAGGTGGTGGCTGCGCCGCACGGCACGTAACTCTCATTTGTGGCTCCCCGAAGCTAGTCTCTGCCTAGCGTCCACACAAAGGTAATCGCCTCGACCGGTTGCTTAGACCGGATAAGAGTATTCGGTGCTGCTGTGTCCCCCATAATTCTTCCAACATATCACCTTCCCATACTTTTCACTCCAAAAAGCCCTACGGAGCAGATGAAATGCGATTCCGAAGGCGGCCCAGTCTAACACGTGTCGTCCTCCCACCAAAACATTCGTGAACCATGGTGGCGTTCGACAGCCGCCTGTGATGTCTAAATAGCCAAAGCTATGGATAGCACTGCTTACTCCTCTGAGAAGAAGGGACCGGAAGGGTGTCCTAAAAAATGCTGGAAAATCAGTTAATCTGCGAGTATACTGTGGCTTTTAGGTGCAAAACTCGCGATCAACACTCTACGTGAAGCACAACCACTCCCGTCTCCCTCCCCTCAGTCACACCCCACAGGATGCTACGGTGAGTCTGCTTACTCTGGCAGTCTGGAATTTCCGTCCCATTTTAGACACACCGAAAAGCAGCTGGCCGGAACGGAGAACGGCGTTGGCCGGTCGAGAGCTGGTGTGCCGCAAGATGGACATGGCTGTTCTCAGCTAGGCTCGAACCTCTGAAGAAGATAAACTGGAGAAGGTGGGCGCTGACTATGCCACGGAGTTACAGACACGATCTTCACCGCCCGACAGCCGCAAGAGAGATGCCAAGAAATGCTGATCACCCTCCACACTCTCTTCGTGGACTTGATGAAAGCCTTCGGCACGGTGAATCGCGATGGACTGGGCAGAATCATGCAGAAATCTGACTATCATAAGCGACTCACACACATGGTACTTTAGTTCCACGGCAGTGTGATGGCCCATGTCACGCACAATGGGAGAGTCTCAGAAACATTTGCAGTGGCCAACGGAGTGGAGCAGGGCTGAATACTGACCCCCAGTATAAAAGTGAATGAAGCCCCACTGGGATCCGTGGACAGCTTCGCCTGCCTAGGCAGCGACATTTCAGACTGCAAGCAAGACGACGAAGTGGACCACAGGATCTCCACTAGCAGTCAGGCTGAAGTGCCCAGCGGTCATCTCGTGGAGAGGGACGACGAGCGACCGTCCAAGCGATTATTCTAGGACGATTCCGCTACTGGCGGTCGCCAACAGGACGAACACTTTGCGGACCTCCCTTAAGGATTTACAAATTGAACGGGAGCATCGGAAAAACCTCGCCCAAGACCAATCCGCTTGGAGAAGTACGATGAAGGTTGAAGCAAAAATTTGTGAAACCAACCAGATCGCCGCTGCCAAAGCCAGAACAGCGTCCTGCATATGTCAAACGTCTCCGATCCACAACGTCAGCACCCAACCCCCTCCAACATCCCCACGTTGCCAACGCATTTCTCCCGCACGAAGTGGTCTCGTCGGACATCTCCGGACCAATTACAACAGGAACCAGACAACGTCACCATCGTCACCCCCCTTCACCAAAACCTACGACGACAACAACCACCAGCATTGTCGCTACCGGTGATCGCATTCGTGATTCTCCGGCGCCTCGATCAACGTCGTTGGTTCACACCATCTCTATCATCCCTGCCACAACGCCTGCGACGACAACTACCACCTCTCCAATCCCCGCCACCTGTGATAACACTCCCGAAGCCCCGTTAGCCACTACCCTCACCACCATCACCCCTACCATTCCCACCACCAGTAATGTGGACTCTATCTCAACCTGTCCATGTTGCGATTGCACGTCCGCCTCATCCATCGGCCTATTTGCTCACATGCGCTACCACGCTAACCTGCGCTAAATCATCGCACGCCAAACCTCACCACCACATATGGCAAACACGGACCGTCGCACATCATCTACTGCGGACTCGGAACAAGTACCTCCCACCTGAATGGGAAGTGTGACCTTCGGCTCCCTCTCTACGCAGTCCTTCTGTGACCCCTATACGCATAAGATACAGGCCGCCCACCGACTTTGTGCGAAATCTCTGTGAGTTGTGTGGGGACCAAGTTGTGTGTGTGGCACACGCAGTCCGGCTCCTTAACTCAGTCAGCCACTGCATCCAATCCCCGAATCAGTTGACTAACCGGCTTGAATAGTAGACTGGTGTCCGAGAGATGATAAAAGTACGAGTTAAACTTTCCCAGAATATATTTCCCAGCATAAACTACCTGGTGCGCTCAACGCCGTAACTTGGAAGGCTGCTAACTGGCTGTAAAACTCAGTCCTCCTCTCGTGACGAAGAGCCAGGCTGCAATGACTCCTTCTTACTATGGCATTTATGGCACTCAAACTCAGTTGGCATTTGAGCCGTTACTCCTCGTTTGCCGCTGAGAGACACCCTGGTCCTTTGTTCGCGGTGGTAACAATCGGGAGATAGCACCCAAAAAATCTGTTGCCTAGAAATAATACCTTTAACAGTGGACTCAAACGCCGTCAGGCTATATCAGCGGTTGCAGGCCTACTTTCACGCACTACTTGGAATTTCCGCGACGGCCTCACAAGGGCTGCCCGAACGAACATCGTAGGAGGTTACATGGACGATGTTCGCTGTTACCCAACCTGCCCCATCGTTACACACGTACACCTGAATATACGGCATACATTAGCATTATGGCAGTTTATTACAAAACAAAATAACTTTTAAATAGGATAAGTCTGTACAACATGCCTCGATGGCATTGGTGTGCCGTCCGGTGGTAGGGTCCTTGAAGTTCTTTCAGTGGTTAACAGAGAATTGTAGATAACCTTCTGAGGGAAGACGATTATGCGCCTTTCACTCGTCCATTACCACTATACTGCTTTGGCGACCCATTTTGTAATAACGGAACGGAGAGCGGGCAAACTTCGATCATCCCCCTGTTCAAATATGCATTTCCGTCGGCAAGTATCGTACATCTCGACCAGCCACCACCCATAAAACCCCTATTACCACTTGTCCCGTAAGACAGGCTGCTTAAGTTAGGCGGATTTCTTGGGTGCCATCTCCCGTATGTTACCTTCGCGGTCAAAGAGCTGAAGTGGCACGCCTAGGTTCGTGTTTACTCCGGTCACCTGCGCCTGATCCCGCTTCCGGCTTTCGGCACTGGCCCCGGTTGTGTGAGAGAGGAGGAAGTGCGGTAGATGCAGCACCGTTTCTGCGCCCACCATGCTTTGGGGTATAGGGTGGACATAGCCGGAAACGACGATCAAACTATCATCGTAGGCATAAAGTAGTGGCTGCCATCCGGTAAGTCTAACTGGATTCCGAGCAGATAGGATAGGCCCAGAAGTGGACTTGTTGCAATCAATGGTGAGATGTTAGTGATAGTTCGGAGCTTCGATCACAGACTCAATTTTTACGGTGGCTACACCCATCACTCCACTTAATAGATTCCACATCGGGATCAGAGACGCCGTAGAACTAGGCGGCACAAATGACTACAAAGATTGCAACACCATTCTTTACCACAATTCATCATGCCTTTCTGTGTTATGCAAGGGTCTCTCAGGATTCCTAGCCAATTACGAACCATTAGGGGGCTTACACGGCGTGCTTTTAGCGCTTTTTGTATCTATAAGCAGTCAGAAATTAGCAACATCATAGTTGGATGGCTAGTTCGCCAAATGTTAGTCTTACGACCTATAATGTGGTTTCTACGCTGAAACCTGAGTGGAACACACATTAATCAGAAGCGTTTTATCTTCTTCGCTTGGCATTGGTACCTTATCCATTTCTGTAAGCCGTAAAGGAGCGTTGTCAGGGCATCGGTACTGTAGATGGTGGGCATGGCGTTCAGAGTTTACAAAGGCGTTTATAGAAATTGCGAAATCTTCAAAACATGGATTTTCTCGTAATGTGTAAGTCGATCGTTAGTAAAGGTTGTCGTTCTTGTCATTTTGCCTATTCTGCATACTAATGACAGAAGTGGTTAATTTCGGTCATTGTTATTCAACAAGAGTTTTTATTTGGAGCCTAATCTCGTGGATCCCAAACGCGCACATCCTAAGTTTGTCAAACAGTATTTACGGTAAAGACATGACAGTGGTGACTATGCATACTACATAACGTTACTCTGAATTTTAAATGGTGCTAGGATCAACTAGAAGGAATTTAAAGACATATATTAGTCTGATCACGAAATATCTGCTACCGTGGATATGTACTAACAAGGATGGTTGTGTTTACTTCCATCCCTTCAATATTTGCCATTTTGGTGTTGTTAAGTTAAAACTGCTAGGTAGTATACTGCCTAAATTGATACTGTGAATCCCGAAAAAGATGAAATACTCACGATATAGTTCAGAGCACCTCAGTTCTAGAGCTGCTGCTCAAAGCCCTGTTTCAATCTCAAAAAATTTTGCTTTGAATTTTTAAATATGCACCTTACAGCGGACGCTTTAGCAGTATTACTCCTTAACTTGAATGATCCTGCTATCTCAGTTGCCCTCCATATGTTAATCGTCAACTATTCCAACTCAAAAGCTGGTGATGTTTTGGATTCCGGAATAGCGCCTGGCAGATGCCTTCCTCAATACCTCAGTAGCGTTTAAGCATTAAAAAGTCTTGAGATGATCCTTCAAGCTCTGCGTGACATTACGAAACCGACAATTACCAGTTTAGTCATTGAAAGGAATGAGCCACAAAGTAGCTTCCTGGATTGAATTCAGACAAGTTTTGTAATGCTTAAGTCTTTATATGTTACCTCCATCTCCATCTTACACGATAAAATTAGTAGATTTGTTAATGAGTGGCGATCTGGTTTAACCATAATGAAATTAAAGTAGTGCGATGTCCGCATAGATTGTGGAGTGCGGATAATCTTCAATAGTTTTGCCTTGTTTCACTTGCAGTAGCGTAAATGGATAGTCAAGTCTCCTACTTTTGGGTTATTTTACCGAAGGAGGGAGTTTGCACTGAAGATGAAATTATACACAGTATAGCCGAAGACTGAACGGCTGGATTTAAATGACTTGTTTTGTCACAGATTCCGTAACACAAGGGGGAACCCTTGCAAGTCTGGCTGGTGGTTAGGCAAGTGTGTTCACTAGAAGTGTTAGCAAACGCTTTGTAAAAATCGCATGTCTTCTTGACGTATCCTTGTTTCAGATCGGAAAAATGGTGCGGAGGGCTGCTGTTTTCCTGAGACCTTTAGGAGGCTTTTACATCCCACAGAACAGTTGTCATTTCCTGAACCGATTATTGTATTTTTCTAATTCTGAATACTCCTATAAGTCTATCACGTCACTTTACCTTCTTTTTCAGTAGTGGAAAACAGCATAAATGAATAAATAGAAGATATGCGGCTTAACAGTTTTCTTATTCCATGGAGAAAGTGGGTATCCGGCATGTCGCCGGATTTCATGTATTCTGCCCAGCTTGATGAGGATGAGAATGGCGCACGCCCATTGGCGGCAAGTGCAAACGCCTCCCGGTTGGACACGTACGCACATTTTGGTCAAGCGCGCTGGAGACGCGGCAGAAAACAAGGCTTGCTGTTTCTCCGCCCCTTAACAGTTTCGCTGGCCAGGCGGGTCTGGGGCTAGCTAGTCGTATGACAGAGCCTCGAAATGATTGGTCATTTCGTCTGCCCAATTTGTCCTCCTACCGACAAGACAATGCCAGAAAAGGTGTGGCAACCAACTAATGCGCAGCAGGTTTCTTTGTCTGTCCAAATGCCTGCAGTATCCTTTTAAAAAAGCCAGCTTGTTATGAATACATATAGGCTTTGCGTTTGCCGCGATCTATCTTGATGACAGAGCAGAGGTTGGAGTTGCGCCGTCTTGTTGACTCTGCTCACCGTCTCTGAAATCGTTGCCATGGCAGTAAGCACTCAATAATTGAAAAGTATTGCCGATATGGAGGTGATCATTCGGGCTCATTTGGTTTTGTCTGCAAAGATGATTCGCATGTATTGACTGTTCGCCACAGATGCAATCGCCGGAGGGAACTCGAAACCAGAACCACAAGGCAAGACTGTATTCCCATTTCCCTACGCAACCAGCATATATTGTCGAACGCCAGCTTCATTGACTTGGAATATTGTCGAAGTCAAAATGGTTTAAATCCTCGACTAAATAACATGGCTCTTACTCTGCCCTAGAGGTCCTTTACGTGTTTCGCTCATGCACTTAGTCTGTCCGAGGATGGCCTTTGTCCAAATTTGCGCCGCAGACATGACAAACGTTTGAAAAATGAACTCCGGGCTCGTGAGTACTCGTTATTTGCGTCTTGGACATTAAGAGAATGAGAAGTAACAGAGTTAAGTTTTTTTTTATTTTCGCCGAAAGCATATGCAAACTCGGCGTTAATCCTTCGATACGAATCTCAGGCTCGGTCCGCCAGCTCATTCGAATATTCGGACTGAAATCTACCAACTTCGATGGAACAAACACGTAATACGGCCATCCTGTCTAGTAGCAGTCGGTAACATGCAGATACTTGTTGATTCACCATACTTGCGGCAAGGGTACAAGCTAAAAGTCGAGACATGGGTTTCGTCTTGACCACCAGTCGTACAAAACGAACCCTGCAGTGACCTTACTCCGGACGTCTACTGCCACACTGCGCCTCCGTCTGGCGCACATATGCATGTACGCACCAGCTGCGGTCGTTCGTATGTATGATGCTCCGTTAGCGTTTGCTCAATCCTTGAAATCGAGAGGTTGTGTGTGTTTGTCGGTCATTCCCAGCTAATCAAATCGGCCAATCAGTTTAGTGGCTGATGCAGACGACCCAGGCGTGCGCTTCTCGCCCGGCCGCCAACTTGCTAAAACTGATTCTTCATCCATTCTGTAAAGAATGCGATGCTCCATCCA